TATTTGGGTAGTGTAATATTATAATAAAATCTCATTAATCACAGATTAAGACATCCCATGTTATTTAAATGACTAAAATACCCTAAATAGACAATAGTGAGCAATAATAATTCACCGGATTGGAATTATTAGTATTATTTTTATTTATTATTATCTTTGGATTAATTATTATTTTTGTTAATTTATTGTTCGCCACTGTGTTGCTATTTATTCTAGTCTGCTCATTTCCTGATATATATAATCTATGATGTAATGAACAGTACAATTTTTATAATTACCCCAAGTTTACTGGTGTTGTTCTCTCATTCAAATTATAAATTATATAACTAACAAATTAAAAATTAATTAGGTGAAACTTTCATCAATTTGTCATAGCATCATCATACAACCTGTGCAGTGCGGTGAATTATTATTGCTCATATATTGTCTATTGAACATAAAACAACAGGACAAAAACATAGTTGATGACTAAAAAATAATCATTTTATGACTGTAGACATTACTTCGTGAAGACAGTGGGCATAATACAGTGACATAAGATGCTTTTTAGCCATATCAAAACAGTAGTCATGTGCATGAGTGAATTTAACCCGCTGGCGGTTTTAGGTATACAACGACCCCTGATAGTTAAAGTGTTTTATCGAAACAATTTTTAACAATGGGGGATTATAAATAACACAATTTTAGTAAAAGTCAATGACTGAGACTTGGATATTTTATTGAAAACCTGCTACATAAACAGCCATGGGTACGTTTTACCCCGTGGCAGTTCTAGTGTTAAGATTCAGATCTCATATCCTAAACACAATGTTAAACTTGGCTGTACATGGTAATAAGCACAGCTTTCTTCCCATAGAGACAACCTGGCCTGGTTTTCAAGATTCCCTACTAACCACATGGAAAGTAGTGGCATGCACGGCCACTAGTGTGCTGCTAGCCCTGCTCTTAGTGATCACAGGCAAGATGTTCCACTTCAAATGCAAATCCCAGCAAAGTCCAAGGTAAAGCCAACATTATAATCAGACAGTGTAGTCTGATCTACTCTAAACTTGCTCATTATTTCTTTCTTTTTCAGTGAAGAGCAAGCTGAGAGCCGAGATCCAAACATCTTGGTTGTAGATGGTGTTGCTGTACCTCTTCCCTCTTATGAAGAGGCTATTAGTGGTACCTACTGTCAGCCCCCAGACGATCTGTCCCCTGCTGGTCTGGGGAGCTCACAGCATTCAGAAGAACAAAACCCACCTTCATATCCGGGGCATACAGGGAGTCAGAATGGTATGCCGTTGGACACTGGTGAGGCTGAGACCTATGATAGCATCTCGGACACATCAGAATGTCTTCAAGGCACACATCCATCTTCCTCCCATGCTGGTGGACTCAATAACATGTCTGAGAAAACCAATGCCATCACCTCTATGGAGGAGACCGCCTCCACAAGCCCCAGCATAGACATTGCAGATGGTAAGGCTGTAGGCTGCTGCCACCTAGTGGTAGAGACACACACTGTTGTATCATATCATTTGTAACATAATTTGATGCACTTATTAGTGTTTTGCTTTGTATTTTCCAGAAATTCCTCTCGTGGAGGATGGTGAAGTGG